CCCCCCCCCTGACACCTCCCCAACCATCCCTCCCTCCCCACTAACACCTCATTTGAGGGTTGCCAGGTGTCGGGTATTGTACCAGACAGTCCCGTATTTGTGTGCTCTGTCCACTGAAAATAACAGAAAATACTGGACATGTTCAATGTCCGGTATTTGCTGATTTTTCCGGCTGCACACCGGACGGAAGCCTGGCATGGGCAGGGGGAGTGGCTGGGAGTCCCAGCTGGGAGGTGGGGCTGCGATTGCCGCTGGGAGCCCACAGTCGGTTGAGTGTGAGGAGGGGTGGAAGCCTCCTCCTCACTCGTGTGTCGCCGGGAGCCTGCGCAGGGCAGGACATGTTCAATGTCCGGTATTTGCTGATTTTTCCGGCTGCACACCGGACGGAAGCCTGGCATGGGCAGGGGGAGTGGCTGGGAGTCCCAGCTGGGAGGTGGGGCTGCGATTGCCGCTGGGAGCCCACAGTCGGTTGAGTGTGAGGAGGGGTGGAAGCCTCCTCCTCACTCGTGTGTCGCCGGGAGCCTGCGCAGGGCAGTCCTGCAAGTGCTCAGGTCAGTCCCGCTCCCCACCAGTCAATTTGCTCACCCACCCTTCCCGGCCAGCAGGTTCTCGAAACAGAGTTTAAAGGGAAGTGAGATCAAGTCATGGAGGTTGGGTCCATAGAGTGCTATTAGCCAGGGGGTAGAAGTGGTGTCCCTGCCCAAGGTTTGTGGAAGGCTGGAGAGGGATGGCACAAGACAAATGGCTTGGTCACTGTCTTCGGTCCCCATTGCCCCCCCGCCCTTCCCAGCCAGCACCGCTCCTTTCCTGGCTGGTCCTTCTCCCCCCTCCACATGAAGTGTGTCTGGTTTTTTTGTTTTTTTTAAATGACTACCTGGTAACCCCTAGCAGTGATCCAGGTTCCTGGAGTCTTTTTTTTTTTTTCTCAACAACTTTGGTCTCCTCCCCCCCGTCTTTTTTAAATTTTTTCCTGGTGTTTTTTTTTGGGGGGGGGGGTATTCGGTATTTTTGTTTCAGCCGTCTGGCAACCCTAGGGGAGGCTGGTGGGTGAGAGCAGGTGGAGGGGGCGGGGAGCCAGGACTCGTGGGTTCTCTCCATGGCTGTAGGAGGGGAAGGGGGCTGGTGAGGCAGAGGCAGGTGACTGAGAGCCTGGGCTGTGGGAAGGCCCCAGGGGCTGAGTGAATAGAATGAGAGGGTGGGGGCTGAGAACTAACTGATCCACTTTTGACTCTTCTGAAGTTTCATATTGGGTGTAAAATTGTGGGTGGAGACAGAAAGGTTCCTGTATAAGCAACTGCCCTGCCTCAGAGGCAGGCGAGGGGCCCCAGTGTAACCAGCTGCCCCGCCCCAGGGTGGCTACATCTCAGCGTTACAGGTGGCTGTAACCAGCTGTAATATGACAGGTTCTGGGGGCATCACTGAGAGAGTCAAATGAGGGTGAATTGCTTAGAACCAGGGCTACTTACAGCTAGGGCACCAAAGCTGTCACAGGGCACGTCTGTTTGCCACAATGGCCAGCAAAAAGTCACACAAGCAATTCCCACTGTTTTGTCACCAAAAGACAGTTTTTGGTGACAAAAAGTGCCAGTGTAGACAAGGCCTTAGACACTCCTGCTTTCCCGGTGCCAAAACCAGAACCACGCCGCACACAGATGAGAGGTTGTGTAAAGCAGTGTCACCAACAGGTTCTTCTTATCCCAAGGGATCAGCCACATTCCTAAGTCAATTTTCATGTCAGCTCTCACCCAAAGAGCAGGCCACACCGATCCTTTAGAATCTAACAGCTAACGGTTTATTAATGAAAAGAAAGAAATGGAGGAGAGTCTACTTGCTAAAGAAAATACAGGACATGCACCAATCCCAAAGCTCCTGGTGCAGGCTCTCAGCAGAGATGGACCAAACTGCTGACGTAAGTCTCTGGGGTACGTGCTTTGTCAGGATGGGACACCAGCCCTTCTGGGTCCAATTCAAAGCAAAGCTGCTTCTGAAGTGAGGAGCTGGAATGAAGACAAATGGAGGAGCCCCCAGGGCCCTTGCTCTACCCTTGCCCACATGGAGGGACTCCCATTGCTCTGGCTGTGTGAAGGGCCTCCCAAAAGGAGTTTGTCCCAAGAGCAAGCCACCTGTCCATGGCCTTCGTAGGCAAGTGGCCATGAGGTGCGTGTTTGACTGCGGTTTGCATGTTCACAGGGAGATTCCTTAGCTATGGGTTGTACCCGTAGGGCCCATTGCCCGCGAAGTGCTGCTATTCACTGGAGAAGCCACCCTTCACGACAGGTGGGCGACGCCTGTTGCTGTCTCCCAGAAGTAAACACTTGAAATGCCAGCTCAGAGCCAATACTTCCCATGCGGAAACCATACATGACATGGGTCGTGTCAACAGACTCAGCTTTCCATAGACACCTCCCTCGGCCTGCTTTGTAGGCAGGGTGGGTGCCACAATGATTTGCATGTTTATTTGAAAATCCAACCACATTACCTCACTGCCCCCACCCCTGAGTTGGGTGCATCACCACACCAGAGGTGGCTGCATCTCAGCCCCAAGAAAAGGGGTCCCTGTGTAACCAGCCGGATGCCCTACAGATGGGCACATCTCAGGCGAGGGGTCCCAGTGTAAGCAGTTGTCCAGCCCCTGAAAGCCGGGCGAGGGATCCCAGTGCAACCAGCCGCCCTGGCAGATAGAGACAGAGATGAATGGAGGTGGCTGCTGAACTCAGACATGGGGCTCCCCCTTGTGGTCAGTTGGAGGGAGCACGGGAGCCTCTGTCCATCGGTGAAGCTCTGCCTCATCCCAGGCGGTCCACACATGGACCCATCAGATTCAGAGCAGTCCACATGCGGGCTCCGGGTCCTGCCACAACCCACTTCCCAGACTGTCCCTTCCCGGGTCAGACAGAGCTGCAGGAAGGGGTCCCTGTTCCCCATGACCCAGCCACCTGCCCCAGAAACAGCCACATCTCAGCCTGGGTGAGGGGTCCTGTGTAACCAGCTGCCCAGCTTCAGCTGTAGTGGGGCTGGGTGTGCCAGCGTGGCCCGGGAATGCGGAGCCCAGGAGTCATAGTGCGAGGTAGATATGCTCTGTGTGTGTGTGGTGTGTGCACAACCCCCTGCTGCACATGTATTTTACATGCCTGGGCCTCCGTTTCCCTCTCTGTAGTATGATGAGAGGGGGCACAGAGCAAGTGCCCCGCCCTCTCTAAGCCTTGGAGAATGGACTCGCCCCACCCCGGGGATGCCTCTCTTCTTTCTACTTCCCTGCAGTCAGAGGGGCCCAGTGCACCTGCCCCACCATCCCCAGACATAGGGATTGGACGAGGTGGTGCTGGAGAGGGGTGTGCTGTGTGGGCTCTCCCCAGGGCACGGAAAGGCTCAGCGACTGCAGCCAACGTGCGGAGAGAGCAGGA